AAAAATTCACCTCAATAAACATGTATTTCTCATTTATTATGTGCCAGGTACCATAATCCTAGGGTACAAGAATTCAAAGGTGAGACAATGGACTGACCCTCAAAAAGCTGAGTCTAGAAGAGACAAATACAAATTATGTCACTAAAAAACATAATAAAAGTATGTACAAACAGCAGAAGTAACAAGATAAAGCAAAAAATTAATTTTGCTTGAAGAAAGTAAGGAGGAAGTAGTTGAAGTAGCATGGTAAAGAAGAAAGGAGTCTAGTGGCACACTTGAGTCTAAAGCCCAGCTCAGTCATTATTAGCCATAAGATTTGGGACACTTTAATTTACCTCTCTGAGTTTCCCTTTAAATGTACCTTGAGCAGTTATTCTGAAGATTAGAAATAATATATGTAAAGTATCTAACACATACCAGCCATTCAACAAATGAGAGATGTTTTACAAGTTGTGTTTACTTGCCTCTTTTTAGTAGACTAGGTTATAAATAGCACTGTAGGTAGCATCTGTTGACTAATGATTAAGATACATACAGATCACTAAGGTCGCTGGCATGGAGAGGGCCACAATTAATCCCATTCAGAATATTATTACTTATAGACTGTCAGTGTTGAGAAGAGATGTGGTTCCTAACATGTGGTACACTCAACCATTAGTGAAACATTATGTCTAATCTGTTTCTTTCTGCATTTTTACCCTGACACCTAGAATTTTACATATTCAGACAGTAGTTATTTCCTAGTAGAGGTTCCCATGTTCCTCAGTCCCACTTCAGTCCTAGTTTAGCATATCCTTTATGAAATGGCAAGGTCCAATGAGCAACTGGCAAGTATGAAGATCATATTGAAAGACAATTGGAGCTAATCCTGGATAACTACTATTATCATCTTAATGGTTGATTTGTGGAACTGGAGGCAATTATAATAATTGGAATCTCACTTATTTAAAAATATTGTAGAAGCTGGCCAGGAATTAAGTTACATTTACATTTACTTTATGACTCCCAAAGCTAACTTTCTTTAAAAACCCTGTGATGAGCTAAGCCAGTCATTAACATCTACAGGCATACCTTGCTTTACTGTACTTCACTTTATTTTGATTTTTACAAACAGTAAGTCTGAGGCAATTCTGTGTCAAGCAAGTCTATCAGTACCATTTTTCCAACAGTATGTGCTCACTTTGTGTCAAGTTCTGGTAATTCTCACAATATTTCAAATTTTATTATTGTATCTGTTATGGTGATCTGTGATAAGTGATCTTTGATGTTACCATTATAACCGTTTGGGGTTGCAACAAACCGCATCCATAAAAGGTAGGGAGCTTAATCTGTAAATCTTGTGTGTGTTCTCACTGCTCCACCAACCAGCCATTCCCCAGTCTCTCTTCCTCTCCTTGGGCTTCCTTATTCCCTGAGATACAACAATATTGAAATCAGGCCAATTAATAACCATACATTGGCCTCTAAGTTCAAGTGAAAGGAAGAGTCAGATATTTCACTTTAAATTAAGTGCTAGAGATGATAAAGCTTAGTGAGGAAGGCATGTCCAAAGATGAGCTGGACTAAATGCTAGGCCTCTTGCACCAAACGCCAAGTTGTGAATGCAAAGAAAAGTTCTTAAAGGAAATTAAAAGTGTTACACTAGTGAACACACAAATGATAAGAAAGCAAAACAGACCAATTTCTGATATGGAGAAAGTTTGAGTGGTCTAAATAGAAGATGAAACCAGCTACAACATTCCCTTATGCCAAAGCCTAATCCAGAGAAAGTCCCCAAAACTCTTCAATTCCATGAAGGCTGAGACAGGAGGAAGCTACAAAAGAAAACTTGATATTAGCAGACGTTGGTTCATGAGGTTTAACAAAAAGACACCTCCATAACATAAAAGTGCAAGGGGAAGCAGCGAATGCTGATGTAGAAGCACAAATTATCCATAAGACCTAGCCAACTGATGAAGATGGCTACCTCAAACAGATATTCCATGTAGATGAAACAGCCTTGTATCAGAAGAAGAAAAAGCCATTTAGGACTTGCACAGCTAGAGAGAAGTCAATGCCTCACTTCAAAGCTTCAAAGGACAGGCTGACTCTTCTTAGGAGCTAATGCAGCTGGTGACTTTATGTTAAAGCCAATGCTCATTTACCATTCTGGTGCCCTGGAGAATTATGCTAAATCTATTCTACATGTGCTCTATAAATGAAACAAAAAAGCCTGGATGACAGTACATTAGTTTATAGCATGGACTATTGAATACGTGAAGCCCACTGTTAAGAACTGCTCAGAAAAAAAAAAAAAGACTCCTTTCATTTTAATGAATATTATTCTTCATTGACAATGTACCTGGTCAACCAAGAGCTTTGATGGAGATGTCCAAGTAAATCAATGTTGTTTTCATGCCTGCTAACACAACATCCATTCTACAGACCATGGATCAAAGAGTAATTTTGCCTTTCTAGTCTTATTATTTAAGAAATACACTGTGTAAGAGGGCCAGAGATAGTGATTCTTTTGATGGATCTGGGCAAAGGAAACTGAAAAACCTTCTGGAGAGGAGTCACCATTCTAGATGCCATTAAGAACATTCGTGACTCATGAGGTAAAAATATCAACTTTCATAGGGGTTGGAAAGCAGTTGATTCCACCCTTCATGGATGACTTTGAGGGGATCAACACTTCAGTGGAGGAAGTAACCACAGGTGTGGTGAAAATAGCAAGAGGACTAGAATTAGAAGTGAAGCATGAAGATGTGATTGAATTGCTGCAATCTCACGATAAAGTTTGAATGCATGACGAGTTGCGTCTTAGGGATGAGCAAAGAAAGTGGTTTCTTGAGATGGAATTTACCCTGGGTAAAGATTATGTGAACACCACTGAAATGACAACAAAGGATTTAGAATACTGCATAAACTCGGTTGATAAAGCAGCAGCAGGGTTTGAAACGACTGACTCCAATTTTGAAAGTTCTACTGTGGGTAAAATGCTATCAAATAGCATCACATGATACAGAGAACTCTTTCATGAAAGGAAGAGTCTACTGCTCTTCCTTAGTGGCAAACTTAATTGTTGTTTCAAGAAACTGCATCCCCATCTCCAGCAATCACCACCTTGATTAGTCAGCAGCCATCAAAACAGAGACAAGACCCTCTGTCAGAAGAAAGATAATGACCTTGCTGAAGGCTGAGATAATCTTTAGCATTTTTCAGCAATAAAATATTTTTAAATTAAGGTCTGTATTTTTGTCTGAAATCTCAGTACTTTTGGTCTGAAAAAGTACAGACGTTAATTTAAAAATACTTTATTGCTGAAATAAAATAAAGTTTCTTATTCTTAAATTTAAGAAGCTTGTACTTTTTTTTCAGCATTTCATGTAAATTCTATTGCACATTTAAAGACATGTAAAATCTAACTTTGATATGCACTAGGATACCAAAAAAATTCATGTGACTCACTTTATTGCAGTATTTGCTTTATTGAGGTGGTCTGAAACCAAACCTGCAGTATTCTAAGGCACAAATATATGTTAAGTCTCTACTTTTCATTTCACTTCAACAAAAATTGGTATAGTTCAAATACCAAACAGTGGATAAATGCAAATAAAATCGTAAGATAAAGCAGCCTACCTCTAAATTCAATTGAATCATGAGATGGTCTTTATGTCCATCTAGTTTTCCAGAACCTCTAACAATATGTTCCTTACCGGCAATCATCATGTAAAAGTCAGTCTGTTTCAAGTTAAATAACCACAACCTTAAGAGTGAGGAGATGAAGCAATCCAGAATCTTCTTTAAATGTATACTTTCCATTCAAGGAAACCAGTGTCCTTAAAGTTGTCTTTTGTGGTATATAATTCCATAAAATTTTCTTCTATGAATGTCTGTATTCTACACCATGCCAGACTTTATATATATGTCATATATATATACATACATATATATACACAAGTTATATTTGTAAAATGCTCGTAACACTCTTAACCAGTTTGACAAAATGCATTTTGAAATACTAATGTTCTATTGAAATTAACTGCCTTACATATTTTCAAGAATTAAATCCTGAGTGTATTTTTAAAATATTTTCCTCTGAAAAGCAGGCACTGAGGAGTCACCAAATCGCAACTGAATCTCTTTCCCGTAAATTCTACTTTAGAGAATAATTTGTAAATTCAGAACTCAAAGTATAATGTAAGCATTTCCAATAACAAAACCAGAAGTTTCTTCACAAAGCAAATCTATATATTGAATTAAAATATTATATGTATTATCGGTCTCTTTCACAAATAGAAATTTGATGTTATAAGGGCAGTTCCTGACAGCCTTAATAAACGAAGGGAAATACACAAAATTATCAAAATGTCTCAGAAGCAGCACCTGGAGGCCTGAGGGAAAGAGACAGACAGACAAAAGGAAATGGGAGGGGAAGGAGATATGTGAAGCCAACACGCTTAGACTGCACTAGACCTTATTAGCTCAGCCCCTGACCCACTATAATCTACTCAGTTATCTGTATCACCCAAAAAATTAACGGTTGAAAAGCAAATCGACCATTGTGGGCAGTGATTTTAGGTCCAACATTTAGCTTGAGATTTGCCAGAAAGGAAAAGAGCTAAATTAGAAAAAGATGTAAATAGCAAGAAGCGCTGTGTGGAAGGGGGAGGGGAGGAGGGTAATGGAATAAAAGCGAACTGCGCTCAAGTCTCAGCACTAAAGCTACTCTGCGCGTACTACAGAGGCCGGGCCGTCGCCGGGAGCTCTCCCCGTGCAGGGCAGGAGCTGGGGTCGCAGATGCTCCCCCGGCGACTCAGGGAAGGGGGTGGCGGGCGCCGGCGTCCCCGGGACACGCGCAGAGTGGCCCCGATTAACACCTTCCTAGTCGGGACCTGGAGCTCCGAGCGGGGCGCGCACGGGGGTGGGGCGGCTAGGAGCGCGTCTCCTCCCCGGGAGGGAGAAGACAGGAGAGGGGCGGACCGCATCCCCGTCCCCAGCCCAGGCGCGTCAATTACCCGTGAGGTTCCTCAGCACCGTCCCGTGGGCCCAGAGGCTCAGGACCTGCTGCACCGACAGGTTGATCATGGAGTGGTCGCCCCCCTCCGCCTTCATCTTCCCCGAGGGGCGCCCGCCTCCCTCTCCTCGGGGGCCAGGCGGCGGCGGCGGCTGCGAGGCTCGGGGGGCGGCGGCGGGTGCGCGGCTTCTCCAGGCCGCCGCCGCCGGTGGAGGCTGCGGAGCGCCGGGCCGGGCGCTGCTGCTGCTGCAGCCGGAGGGCCTCCGTTGGGGGGCCGCTCAGCGTGTCTCCCAGGCAGCCCCCTCCCCGCCGGGGAGACATTGAGGACGGCAAACGGACGAGGGTGGGGAGGGGGCCGGGCGCCGTCCCCGCGCGGCCCCCGAGCGAGGACTCGGGGCGGAGGAGGCCGCCGCCGCTCCCTCTCAGGGGCAGCGCCGCGCCGCGGGGGCCGGACACGCGAGGAGGCCGAGGTCACGCCGGGAGGCCGGTGCTGACTGGCAGCCGGCAGATGCAGCCCCCGACGGGGCCCAGCTCATCGCCGCTGGAAGACGAAGAGGTGCGGGACCGGCCGGAGGCTGCGGCGGCACCTGCCGCCCGCCTGCCCGCCCTCGGGTCGCCGACACTCGAGGAACCGCCCCCTCCACCCGCAGCCGCCGGCGGGCCGCTCGTGCGCGCGCGCGCGCGCCTCTCAACCCGGCCCCTCCTCCCCTGCCGTCCCCGGAGCCGCTGCGCATGCCCACTCCCCCGCTCCCAGCGACCCGCCGCCCTCCGGCAGCCGGTCGGCCCCAAAGCCCTCCTCTCACTCTCCCCTCGCGCTCCAGCGCGCGTGGCTGACGGCGCCGAGCGTCGGCCCGCAGTGGGGCGGAGGGAAGCGAGGCCTACGTCACTGGCGCCACCGCCGGGCCTTGATGCTGATTGGGTGCTCCAAGGGAACCGCCTCCACGCCCCCCACCCCCGGACCCTAGGCGCGCGCCCTGGGAGACCCGAAGACTGGGAGCCCTCGCCCCGGCGCTGCTGGGTGCGCGCGGTGCGGGCGGTGTGGGCGGCGCGGGAGCCGGCGCTGGAGGAGCAGCCCTGACCCACAGAAGGGCTGCTGAACTCGGTGAGGTGGATGCTGTGACAGTTCAGATTTTTGCCTTAAAATATAATGCTTTTGGTAAAGATGTTTACATATAACTTTTTTTAAAGGTGTAAATATCTCAACATTTAGATATATGTATTTGCGGTTTTTTTTTTTTTTCTGAGCGTGAATCAAATGACCTAGATAGGTGACTTACTTGCAGAATGCATATAAAAACACCTAAAACACAAATACACCCGCGTTATCATTCTGCCAGTGCCTCTTCCAGCTGCAAGAACTTGGGCCTCCCAGGGTTCCAGGTCCTGCCATCTCTTGTTTGCTTTAGGCTCGGCAGGTGTCCTAATCTTCAAGGCCATTGACAGCTCTAGCCCCACCTTTTTTTGTATGATAGTATTCTTTTATCTAAATTTTGTCTGTTATTTTTTTCTATCGGACTTAAACTGGATCTCTCTCCCAATGCTTTGCTGTTTTTCTTCATGTCCAGCACTAGACAGAGGAGCATCTAAAATCCAACTACAAGTTAAACTCCTCGAAATTTGAAACCTTTTTACTTTACAAAATAAAAATTTAAGTTTTAGCAATAACATAAGTATGCACTCGCCAGCCCCTCCCCCCACCTTTTCCAACCCCTCTGCTATCTGGATAAAGAAAAATTTACAAAGAGAAGTGAAGAAATACCTGCTGTAGCTAGATCATAAAGTATATTTGGCAAAGCACTGAAGGGTTGAATTACCTGTGAAATGGTGCTCTTGGCCTTAAAATGATATTTACATATACAGCACTTTAAAATAATATTTACATATATACATTTATTTCCACTTTAAAATAATATTTACATATACACATTTATTTCTTCGTTTATTCGTATTTTTCTTTTGATGTCACAACACAAGAAAAAGAAATTTTTGCACCATTAATAAGAATTGAGCCAAAGCTCATAATGCAAAGTTTATCTTCCTCCTAGAATTTAGATTTAATTAGATATATTAATTTAAGATTACAGAATATCAAACATAAAAGAGGCTTTAAATTTTTCTAATTTATTTATTTTACAGATAGGGAAACGAATTCTGTGAATTAAGTGACTTTGGACAGAGATGACAGCACTTCAGAGCTCAGTTTCTGAATTCCTGGTCTATTATTCTTTCTAGCAACCACATTATCTTTCTTAACCCACTGTTAACTCCCTAACTTGGAGATTCTGGATGGGGAAGTGCAGGTTACCTAATGATATTCTTAAGAGACTTGGCGTTACATAATTCGTGATGTTAGGGAATGTGACCACATTCAGTGAAGAGTTCACAGTAAACCCTGTAAGCAGGAGCTCACTAAACTCTCACATTAGAAACCTTTAGTTAGTTTACCTTCTTAGGATTGCACACTATTATTTAAAACATAGTAACATGCAGTGAAAATATTCAGAACCTGGGACAGTGCCTGGCACATGTACCATAAATATTTGTTGAATGAATCACTGAATGATCTTCATAGAAAAGTCAGCATTGTTCTTGTTCTGAATAAATGTTTTTAACAGAATCCAAGTGTTCATGTCAGGAAATGAGAGACACACAGAAATGAAGCCTCAAGCCAGTGATGCTCTTTGCTACCCAGCAACATTTCCCCTACTCTTCAGTTCAGTTTAATTGGTGTCTACATTTATTTGGCATCTACTGTCTGTAATGTTCTGTGAAAAGTGTTATCTGTAAGATTTGAACATGAGATCCCTACTCTCTAGGCTATTTAACTTAGGTTTGCCTTGATAAAGGTAAGGGTACTGGCTGTGTTGGAAGCCTATATCTTTAAGGGAATTGGACATTTTCCCAACAGCCAGAGTTATGAAACCCAGAACTGAATTAATACAAATGAAAGTTTTGAAATTTCTTTTTACAGACTTTTGATATTAAAATAATACACCAATTCAGGAATGGTTTAGTCACATTCCTGTTGGAAATCAGGGAACACCCCAAGTGAATCCAAAAGTTTCTTTTCAACTCTGTGCCCTTCAGTGTGAAACAATTTACAAATGTAATTCATAAACCAAAATTATTTTCCACACATAAGTGAGGGAGCACCCATTAGCCTTAATCATTTTAAAAACTGTCCAGAAACAACCTAGAGGAAAGCTTTTAAAATCAATTAAAATATAAAATGATATTGATCCTTTGAGAAAAACATTTTCAGGTATCTTTTCAGCAGTGCCCCACTTTACTGGTACCAATTTACTGTATTAGTCCATTTTCACACTGCAGATAAAGACATACCCGAGCTGGGCAATTTATAAGGAAAGAGGTTTAATTGGACCTAACAGTTCCATGTGGCTGGTGAAGCCTCACAATCATGGCTTAAGGAGAGGAGGAACAAGTCCGGCCTTACACGGATGGTAGAAGGCAAAGAGAGAATGGGTAAGATGCAAAAGAAGAAACCCCTGATAAAACCATGCAGAGCCAAACTATATTATTCCTCCCCTGGCCCCTGCCAAATCTCATGTCCTCACATTTCAAAAATAATCATGCCTTCCCAACAGTCCCCCAACATCTTAACTCATTTTTCAGCATTATCTCAAAAGTACACAGTCCAAAGTCTCATCTGAAACATAGCAAATCCCTTCTGCCTATGAGCCTGTAAAATCGAAAGCAAGTTAGTTACTTCCTAGATGCAATGAGGGTACAGGCACTGGATAAATACAGCCATTCCAAATGGGAGACATTAGCCAAAGCAAAGGAGCCACAGGCCCCATGCAAGTCCAAAATCTAGCGGGGCAGTCAAATCTTAAAGTTCCCAAATGATCTTCTTTGATTCCATGTCTCACATCCAAGTTACACTGATGCAAGAGTGGGTTCCCATAGTCTTGGGCAGCTCTGCTCCTGTTGCCTTTGCAGGGTATAGCGCCCCCCCCCCCCCCCCTTGGCTGCTTGCATAGGCTGGTGTTGAGCGTCTGCAGCTTTTCCAGGTGCACGGTGCATGCTCTCGGTGGATCTACCATCCTGGTAGACTCTGGAGGACAGTGGCACTCTTCTCACAGCTCCACTAGGCGGTGCCCCAGTACGGACTCTATGCGGGGGCTCCAACCCCACCTAAAGTCTAAATGTGAGAGTAAGAAGAAAAAGATTCTGCTAAAGTCACACACACACACACACACACACACACACACACACACACACACACACGGACATGCATACACATGATCCTGCATTGTTAACATGTAAGATACAGTTTCCCCCCCAAAAACCTTGTCTAAGAAGTACCCTGCATCCAGCCTGGTCATATTACAGATAGAAAACCACACATAAAAAAACATAAAATAATGGGTTGATTAAACACCACCTGAAGATACAACATGTAACTCACAATAAATTCTTAAAAATTATTTAATTATTAAGCTAAACATAAGAAAACATTGTATGCCAAGAACAAAATGGTGAAAATGATATTTCACTGATTTTAAGTGAGGTATTTTTTATTGTGTGTAGGAACATTTGGGTGAGCTTTTCTAGGGATTTTTTTATACCATTTGCTCATTTTTCTTTTGGATAATTTATATTACAAAAAATGTTATGTGTAGGAGCTTTTATATATTTAACAGATTAACCATTGTGATACATATTATGTATTTCTTTTCTAGTTTGTCAGTTGCCTTTTAACTTCAACGGAAGTTTTCTTGTCATGCAGAAATTTCTGATATTTACATTGCCAATCTATTCTGTTACAGTATCTGAGTCTTCCATTATGCTTTAAAGATGTCTTCCCTTCTCTCAGATTTGATTTTTTTTTAAAGTATCCTATATTTTTTTTCTAGAAATATTGTAGGTTTTTTCTTGTTTGCACCTTTAGTCCACCTGGAATTTTTTTAATGGAAAGAGTTTGATAGAGATCTTGATTTTTTTCTAGATGGTCATCTAATCGTCTCAAAACATTTATTGAATAATTGATCATTTTTCCACTGACCTAAAATATCCAATGTAGCACGAACAAAATTCCTATATATACTTAGGCGTATATTTCTGGACTTTTTGTTACATCTATCTGTCTGTTTATGTGATGTCACCACACTATTTTTATTTGCTTTTGTACTCACTTTCGCATGTTTTTGATTAATCTCAAATGTGTATTATTCCAGATGAACTT